CAGAGGCTATATAATAAAACCTAGATTTCTACAACTGATTCACAAAGTCTGCTTACTGTAGTTTACAGGGACGCAGTGATGCACGCTCCTAACCTGCTGCATGTTTGAAAAGTTGGAAACATAAAAGCTAATTTTGAAGAAGAAAATTTTAAAGTAAACCAGGTATGCTTTATCAGGGGGAATATAAACTAATCTCAGAGGGAACAAAAACAGCAGGGAGTTTGACCGCTTGAGGATATTCTGTGTTCAACAGACAAGAAGACGGCAGCTAAGATGCAAAGGAGGTGGATGCAGTGGAGTCTGATCCTCCACAGCAGGAACACCGTGTTATATTTCTGTAAATGACTAGATCAGGATTTCACAACACTCAGTACACACGGTTAGGTGCATACACCTAATGGCAATGATGCTTTTTTGTAGTTTTTCCTCTGCTCACCATAACATTGGATTTTAAATCAAACAATCAACATGTGATTGAAGTGTAGACTTTCAGCTTTAGTTCAAGGGTTTTCGAAAAATTTTGCATTAACTTCATTAATATGAAGCACAGCTGTTTTTATGTATAGCCCCCATTTTCAGAGGATCTAAATCAAAAGGTTAGACTAATGTAATTTTAAATATTATATTAATGATTGTTTTTAACACTTGGATGAAAATCAGTTGGAGTCTGAATACTAAAATCCATGTACATTACCCAGCGCTGGGATTCCTCCCTTGAGATGCTGTTATCTTTTTACTGCAGTCATCTTCCACTGCTGCTTGTTTTAGACTGTCTGTATTCAGTTTATTCCTCCGTCGCTGAAAATCACGCTCTGTTGGCTTGAGATCAGTTGACTGACCTGTTGCTTAAAGAATGTCCCATTTCTTTGCCTTTAGAAACTCTTGGGTTGATTTTGCAGGACGCTATGGGTCATTGTCTATTTGCACTATGATGCGCTGTCCGATCAGTTTCTCTCCTTCTCCACACTTTTCTCTTTCCATCATTGGGAAGAGAAAAGTGTGGAGAAGGTGTCAAGGTTTGTTGAGTAGTTCTTAAAGTGCAGAAAACTTTAGACTAATACTCCAAAAAACTGCAATATTTCCTGTGAGAGTAAATATAGTAGTGTTTGTTACTGATAACATAATTTTCTGCCATCAGTCTCAGGTGGAGGCAGCGAAAGCCACGGATCTGCCGGACACAGACACTAAGACAGCTGAACCGGATCCAGCTGAAACCTGGAAGAAAGACTTCCAGTGCCAGTGGTATAAGACAGAAGACCAGGATGTCTTAGACCTGCAGTCTCCCAAAGATGGAGTGTCTCTTGGAGGAACACTGGAAGCAAATGCTGGAGGTGTAACAGAGACTACAACAACTGCTGCAACAAAACGTGCCTCTGTGACAGAATTTAGTGGGAGTAGCACAGCTGGTACTGGAATTCCAGCACCTTCACTGGAAGCATCGACAGATAAGGGTACCAATCCCCCGAGTCCCCCAAGCATCACCGTTTTGCTGTTGCTGGTGGTTGGAAGCCTAAGCCTGGAACCTTAAATTTTGAACTGAACAGCCTTCCTCTTGGAGGACTGCATCAAAACCACACGTGTGAGCCCTTCTGAAGTGCCCTTGAGCAAAACATCCAAACCCTGCCAGGTGCAGACGATTAACCAAGTGTGTGATCTGAATGGTGCATCATTAAGAAAAGGACAAACTATGACCAGAGCTGAGGGTGAAGACCTACCACTGGTTGTGCCAACAGATTCAGGTTACACTGACTGGTTGGATTTAAAGAGAAATGACTAATAAGCCAGAAAGTCATCCAACCTCGCCACGCACTGGTAACGTTTGTAAAACTGCTTTGAGGTTTGTCCGTGCATGTGTGTGTGGCCAGAGAAGGCCCAAAATACTCTGGCTCCCCTTGTATTTCAAGAAATGAGTCATGTTAAAGGGCTGGTTCAAAAATAAATGTTTTATTTTATCATGAAATAAAAGAACAGAAGAAACCACACAAGCACACACAAATGTCAGTGACTGATTTCATATGCATGTAACGAAGGCTGCTGTTAGTTACAAGTGTAGATGATCCATGGTAACGGTGCCTGGGTAATAAAACCAAACCTATTCACATCCCTGAATCATGGTCCAGGTAAGTGAAATGTCACGTTCTCTTATTTTGGGAAGCTCAACTTTGAATCTGCTTTTAACAGGGAGTTTATTTAAAGCTTGGCATGAAGAATTTAAATGCAAATTTCCTACACAATGAATGTGTGTCATCCTTGGGCTACATATTTACCATATTAACACACACACACACACACACACACACACACACACACACACACACACAAAACTCACTTAAGCTTTACATATCATAAATGTTAATACTGCTGAGATGCAGCACATATTTTCTGAGTGCTCTGGCCTCCTCTGCCTGAGTTCTGCAGGAACTACACCGCTCCACACTGGGAAACCGTCACTGTAGGAAAAGCTCAGTTGTAAACAATAAAATGAGTGAAGGCACAATTCTGGTTTGCCATTTCACTTTCAGGGTCACTGGATTTCAAATCTGGGCTCAACACCACATTTTCATGGCTTACAAAGAAAGCAGTAAACGCAGTACTCCAGACAAGCTGCAAATTCATATATATATAGTCTTGTGTATAAGACTGTGCTGTCCTGTGAAACTGAAGTACACTTGATGATCCAAGAGCTTGTACAACCATCTTTAGATAATCTAAAGAAATCATTTTTTGTGTGACTCTCACATTGTTGCAGAGGAATTTTGTCCCACTCTTCAATACAACCTCTCTTCAGTTCACCAATTGTTTGGTTTTATGCACAGCTCTCTCAAGGTCCTGCCAAAGCATTTCAAAATCGGCGACGCTCTCATCAATGGATGGGTTTTTCTCTTTTTTTCAGTATTTCTTTCACAGGTTTGTTGCTGTGCTTCACATCATTGTCCGTGCACGACCCAACTCTGACATTTGACTCTAGAATACTTTGGTCTTGGATTCCATGGCTGCAAAACAAGCCCAAATCACCATCCCTCCACCACCGTGCTTGGCAGTAGGTATGGGTATGCTGTGGTTGGATTTCACCAAATGTGGTGCTGTGCATTATAGCCAAACATCTCCACTTCGATCTGGTCTATCCAAAGGACATTGTTCCAGAAGTCTGATTAGTCTTTTTCTAACTGTGGGGTCATGAACTTGAAAAATTAAGATGTTAACTAAGGCCTGTAGAGTCTGAGTCAGAACATATCACACAGTTACTTTGGTTGAATCTGCTGGGACGTCCATTCGTGGGAAGGTGAATAATCTTTCTCACTGTAGAATGATGGACTTTAAATTGTTCGCAAGTAGCTTTTTAATAGGGCTGAACGATATATCGCATTTGCGATAATATCGCGACATGATCAAGTGCAATTTTCTAACCGCAAAGGCTGCGATTATACTGCGATTATATTATACAATTCATGGGCTGCATCCTCCTGAGGCCGCATTTGTAGACCGATTACGTCACAGCGACGCGCCGAAGGCTGTCCAAATTACTATCATATCCCAGAATTCATAGCGCGGCCCAGCCAAACTCCAGTTTCCAGCAATGGCGGCCGCTACTAAGTTTTAAAATTACTCATACTAATCTTTCTGGGTCACAAAATAAACTTTTAACATATTTTCAGGCGAGAAAGTAGTTGTGTAAACATCAAATATCTGCTCGGTTTATCAAGATATCCCATATTTGCAAAAGTGCTTCGACGTTTTCAGAGGTGTCTGCTACCCACCAGCTCGACAGCTAGCCGGGAGCTCGAGGGTTACTGATGCGGCCGAGAACGGCACAACTCCCGGCACATCATTTTCAGATCACCGCGGAGTTTCGCTGCTCGGGTTAAACGTAATATATAAGTCACTTAGACAACCTAAAAATGTTATTGTTGGGCTTTTTTCAGTGTTTTGTTTGTTCGTGAGTAAATCGGTTTGGCTGAGATTAAAGTTATTAGATTAGATAAAATAAAACTTTATTAATCCCCCGGGTGGGTTCCTCCTTGGTTTTCACACAGCTGACTAAACGTCAAACAGAAAACTTATTAAACAGAAGTATGAGACAGTCGAGAATTTACACCAGTGTCTGGTTATATTTTAGATAGCAAGAAGCAGACGGCCGAGTTTATTAAACTCCACCGAGACAGCGGTGACGCTAATCAGAAGGCTAGACCGTCCAATTTCACGCCTTTAAACTTTAAAGGCGTGTTTGTGTGTGTGTTTATACAATTGCTATTATGTTTGCACTTTATGTGTAATGTTACTGACTGCAGAGATCAGTAAGATGTGTGTATTTTTTATTTATTAGTTTTATTTATTTAATATTATTTTTTAATTGAATGACTGTCTAGTAGTTCACAGATGTCGAAAAACTGAGTGTGGTAAAGCCACTGATTTTTTTTATGTATATTTCTGCAATCTGCACATTGTACTGACTTTCATTTTAATGTTTACACCAGGGTTCCTTGTCAGCACTTTATGCTCAGATGTTTGTAAGCTAAAAATAAACTATTGTGTATGTTCAAATATACTGTTGTGATTGAAGAAGTTAAATAAAAATGTCAGTCATCAATTCATGCATCACCTCATGTCATCATAACAGAGGTCTGTCTTCCAGGAAAGAACAGTTTAAAATTAATGTAATATAGTATTGGCCATACTATATGATGTATTGCTTGTCTTTGTTTAATAATACAGAAGACAAATACCTTAAAAAATAATCGCATATCGCATCGCAATCGCAATATTGGGGCAAAAAAATCGCAATTAGATTATTTTCCATAATCGTTCAGCCCTACTTTTTAACCCTTTGCAGACTGATGGGCAGCAACAATTGCTTCTTTACTTTACTTCACTGCTGATGTCTTTCCTCCTGACTGCTACTTACACTCCTCTGGCAGCAGTAAAGATTCATTTTTAATCACAGGACTGTAACAGAATACTGGAGGTGGTATTCTGTTAAAAAAAAGCTCCAAATGTTTGGGTTTTTTGCAGCTTCTGTAAATTTATTTTTCAATAAAATATACAGTCAAGACAAAGGTATCTAAATCATTTTAGTTACAGAAAGAGATCATATGTACACAGGTGCCTCTGATTGTAAAACAGAATTTAAAAAACAAAACAAGAAAATGACATTTCCTCTCTTACATCACAGCTCTATGATGTTTCTCTTGCCTCAAATATCTATCAAGTCTTCCAGTAACATTTTTTTTTACTTTACACTCTCCTACAAAACAGCATTTACATCTTTACACACATGTACTGGTATACGTCAGTATAACTGAGGGAACCTGGATGAATATTAACTTTACTATATACCTTGAAATTTTAATAAAATTTCCTGGCTAAAACCCTTTCCAACGAGGTTCAAGGGACGTAATTAAGAAACCAAAGAGCAGTTTTACACAAACAGCCATCATAACCAATTGAATGTATTTTTTGGTTTGATCTTTACCGCACTGATGATAACAAGTGCAGAGCGACATAGAGGGGCACGTTTTGCAGAGTTAATGCGCTGCTCTGAGCTCCACATCCACATATGACACTTCGTAAAGATGTTTGAAAGTGATTTAATGGCTGAATTAAGCTTCAATATTATGTTCAAGATTAAAATGTATACTTACCTTGCTTACAGTATTGCTCAGACAACATTTTAGATTAAAAATGACTTCAGTATTTGGTTTGGATTAATCTTGAAACGCTACTGACAGAAATGTATGCAGAGTCCAGTGTAAGACAACCAAAACAAGACTCCTCATTCCAAATGACATCTATAATAAGGTTCGCTCTTAGAATGAAGATCTTCAACACATACTCTGATCTAGATTAATCCTACAAGTGCAATTACAGCAGACATTTCATTAAATTAAAAAAGGCTGGGAACAACAGCAGGGCGACGCTGCACTCACTGGCTTTATCATTGGGTAAATTAATAAATACTTAAGTAAACCACCTTAGCTCACATCCACAGGCCGTAGCTCTTTTTTGTTGTAACACTGTGTCCACTGTGCTGACATTATAAAAAGTTGCACAACAGTTTATCTGCTGTCTGAGTAATTTCTCTCCAACCCTTCGGTGCAATCAAAAGTCAGAACTGTGAATCAAAATTAATTTTTAGCATTTGATTTTCCATGTTTCAAACACATTTATTAAATGCAAAAGTACCCATCTTCACCAAAGTAAAACAGAAAACTACAAAACCTCCAACTTGAGTCATTCACCACGTTTAGCAGCTGATTTAAGTCCAAAGCTGGCAAAGCCCTCACAATCATTCAAGAGCAGTTTAATGGATTTAAAATGTGTTTTTGAATGGAGCAAATTCTAATGCATAAATCATTTCTTTAAATTGGGTGAACAGGAACCTAACCAAACACGATACAATTAATGACACTGAGCAGTGTTTTTGTAGTTACTCGCCTGGAAATAAAAAGACTTTCAACAGCTTTAGATTTCACTGGAAATCAATCTTCGCTTTTTTTTTTTTCTCGTTATTCTCAGTTTTGTGTGGCTGCAGTGGTTAATTTTTCTAAGTGGTTTCAGTCAGAGCTGCATAGAGTGTAAAGTGTTTAAACCTTGGAAATAGAGTTGTCACAATGTGCACATGAATCTTGTTTTATAAAGCCACATTGAGTCACGACTATAATCACGAGGGGGACAGACTGAAAAAAAGAAGACTGCACACTGATCTGAGCCCTTGGTTTGTGTTTGATGACAAGATGAGATGTTATCTCTGGCTACAAGTTATGGAGGCACGCAAGTCATGAATTTACTTAATCCAGTCAGTCTCTTGGGTTGCTAATGTAAGCTAGCCATCTCAGCACAAACAGTGCTAACGAGAATGAGATGAGACATTCAGTCCTGCGTGTGCTCAAAGTTACAATGCTTTTATTTTTAAGTTACGCACAATTATGCTGCCCCTTGATTGTGTTTTACAATTTAGCCCATCAGATGCACTTTACTTAGTTTTACAGTTTTATAGGATGTAAGAATTTAGGTTCTCAAGATGTGATGCAGCTGAATAATGAAGAATTAAAATCAGGAGATCAACGTCAGTATCCAGCCTTATAAATGGCATCTAAAAGTCAAAGGAAATTAAATACCTGAAGCTGTTAATCTTACACGTAATATTTAAAGCCACTGCGAAGGCTGCACAACATATTTTTCCAGTTATGTACTCAACATCATCTTGGACTGCACTGACAGAGTACGGACTGTACTGGTTCCCAGTGGCACAAAGTTTCAGTGTTTTTGAACAAGCACGCATGCTGAGGAAACTGAAAACACACAAAACACGTAAGGACAAACAGACATGACACAACTGTAATTTCTCTTGCAGTGAAAGAATCTGACCCTTGTTGCATAAGATTAAAAAATAGACTTTCTGTTCCTGTGCAAAAGTCACCGCCTTCTGAGCAGTTTATTATTGCCTCTCCAGTGGCAGAGAGACGGAGAACGAAACATCACCTCCATGTGGGGAACAGAGGTTAGTGCAATCTGAACCAAGCAGGCTGGACGGAGACCAACTCACTCCTTTTAGACAGTGAAGTGAAAAAACAAAACACAAAAAAAGAGCCCATTATCCCACCTTCTTTAAAGATCTGTCCATGTGCATGTGTCCACGGTACAAGTGTCTCTAAAATTGGTTAATTTGTGAGATTTTGTTTCATGACAACTTGGATAGCGTAAATGTTGTGAAAAGGAAAAAGCTCAGCCTGAAGAGCGAAATAAGCACAGTTCATCTGAGATCTCACAACACAAACATGAGGAACGTCTAAGCCAGTCCAGAGGAACTAGGAGTGCCAATAATCCAACATGCCGAGCAGCAACAGTTCCCGGACTCCACGGGTGTCTTCGCTGCAGTATGTGTGTGTGTGCTACCTGCACATGGGTGGGTGGGTTGCACACATGCGCCTGATGCTAGACCTTTGCATCTGGGATGTTTGTTTATGGTGTTACTTGCAAATTGCCTCCAGAGTGTCAAGGGTGCGTTTGATATCGCGTATCTGCGTAGCCAGGTTGTGTATGGGCTGCATGGAACGATCCAACTCCTCGCAGCGAGCCATTAGTGTATACATGCCCTGTGGAGGCAAAAACATGGACGACAGAATTTATCAGAAAAGGAATAATTTGTACTTTAAAAAAATAATGTGAGGGGGTTTCCCACTGTGGTCCTAATTTAAGGTTTTTCCTCATTAACAGTTTCTTTTCAGGTTCACAAGTTAGGAATGCCTTATGTTAAATCATATTTCTGTAAAGTGACCTATCATGTAGCGACTACAATCCAAAATCCAAACCCATAAACAAAACTCGTGTCCAAGGAAAATCCTGCAAAATGACATAAGCTGGGCTATCACTATTATTTAGCTAATTAGGTAGTAAAGGTTCATAATGCATGCTCTGGTGGACCCAGCAAACAGCAATCTTTACTTGTCACATTATGTGAAAGGAACAGAAATTACATGTCACCTTTATACTCATATCTACAGACTCTCCCAGGCTGTCCACTGAGTCTCTGTAGGTCTGGATATACCCCACACTCAGAGCTGTCATCTGCATAAAAGAGATGGTTAAGAGAGAGATTAAAGAATAGCACAAAAACAAAAGGGGAGAAATAAAATAGTAACATAAAACATGAAGACCCTGCAATATATCTACATACACCCTCAGCAGTGCTATTACAGGGTTAGACCCCTTTTTGCCTTAAGAGCTGCATTAACTCTTAATGGCATAGATTCAACAAGGTGCTGGGAACATTGATGTCAACATGAAAGCATCACAAAGTCAGCTGCAGATTTGTTGGTTGCACATCCATGATGTGAAAGATGCTCTTTGGATTGATATCTGGTGACAACAGTGAACTTGTGATATGAGGTGTTGATGGAAGGCAGGAAGCTTTTATGTTGTTTATGCCAAATTCTGACCCTACCGTCTGAATCCAAAGCAGAAATCGAGACTCATCACCAGGCAATGCTGTTCTCAGCTGACATCTGTGACACCCATCCTCACCTTAAACTACTACGTAATACACAGACTTCAATGACGTGTACGTGTTACACTTCTGACTCAGACGACAGCATAAACAGGGTGATTTGAAGAAAGAACTACTAAGACTCACATTTTGGATGGTTCCATTGAGGCTCCGCATCATCACCTCCACACTGTGTGCCACTTCCTGGGTGTGTCTCTGAAGGTCCAAAAGGACGGTGGGATCAATGGGTGGTATATCCGCTGGTCGCCGTGTCAACCCTCGACTTCGGTAAATAGGACCCGAACAGTCCGCTAGTGAGAGTCATCATAAATTAGATATACAATATAGAATAGCTAATATAGAATATACTTTTTTATATAAGCCATTAGCAGAATTATCTATAAAGTGCAAAATTATGGACACTGGAGGAGGAGATAAGCATATGCCTTCTGAGTGAAATGCAGTGAACCAAATTCTAGTCGGACCTGTGGGGTGCAAAATTAAACTATAACTACAGTGAGGAAGGAAAAAAAAAAAAAAAGAAACACTGAATAAAATGAAACATTTTTATTTGACTGTTTCTCAGAAATTGAAACAAATTACACACTTAGCCAAGAGTGCCATGAGTAATTAAACCTTGGATTAAACAAACCCCAGTCAATAAATTGGAATTTAAAAACAAAAACAGTTTCAACCTCTGAAAAGTTTCTGTCGGGCTGTGGCAGGACCTTTAAGAAATCCCTTCAGTCTAAACAAGGTCTGTGCGTCATCAATCTTAATTGAATCAGCAGGTAGAGAGAATGAGCTGCCACAGAGGACATATTGACTGTGGCCCTGTGTTTAAATTGAGAGGCCAGTTTAGCTGACACTCTCATCCAGGGGGGTTTCTGAGTGAAGGGCAGGGGCTCTGTGTCTTACTCCAGCAAAATCTGACAAGACGGATGGCTGCTAATGCACAAGCTCTGCCAGGTCGACCTGCTGAACCTACATAGATGATTTAATTTCTGAGACAGCGGCACACGTGTGGGATTTTGAGGAAAATCCTGGGGTTGGGTCTCCATCATCTCCCCACAGCTCAGACTTAGGCTAATTTAATCACACAGGAAAATGGGAAGATGAGGAGAGGGGAAGAACAAAATCACCTTTTAATTATTACGCTTATAAAATCTTATGCAGAGAGGACTCTGAAGGGAAACAAGCACTGGTGGAGGGTTTCACTAACCAAAAGTGTAACTTTTAGAGATTTCCCACACTGTTCTCAATGATATGAGCATAAAGCTTAATGCAGAAACATTTCCTGAGTACGTAAGAATCACTAAGACAGGATAAACCTGATTCATACACAGTGTAGAGTATCTACCTGTTAGAATGGCTTGTTGCTTCATGTTGGCACCATCACTGACATTAGTCACGTTTTTAGCTTTGCTTTATTTCATTATTTGCTGCAGCAAGTGATGTTTCAACACTTAACTACTCTTCAACTGTAACGATCTGTATATATGGTGCACTTCCTAACTGAATAAACACATCTTTCCTTGAGTCAGTCACATGATTTTTCACTCAATCTATTGAGACAGAAAGTAAAATAAATAACTTAAAAAAATAGCGACTGCATGAATTGCTTAGCTTGTACCGCATTAACATTGTGTGATAACGACAAACCAGTCAACTGCAGCTATTGCGTGCTCGGAGGAAAAATTATACATTTACTAGAGATGCATCGATCGATAGGCCAGGGACCAGAAAAGGATGATTTTTTTTAGTCTTCTCTGCTCTGACGAGTTCCAGTTGGTGAGACTCGGGAATGTCCCATGCATGAACCGGTCTGGTTTATGCATGGGCAACACATGCACAGCGATGCACACGAACAGTCATGCGCACATTGACAGCCATATGCTACCATGTTGTGAAGCGTGGAAGCTTTTCACTGTGAGTGAAGACACAAAGTTTGCTAAAGTAAACTGTAAAGGGGGGGTGGGGATCAAACCTAACCAGACACTTATATCAACCACACCCAGCTGAACATGGGCATTATAAAGTAGCTAAGAAAGGAAAAGACACCAAAGCTAAAACTATTCAGAGCTCTGACCCAGCAACCTCGACATGAGCAACGGCTCAAACCAGTAAAACCTGTAAAAAAGATCAAATGGAATTTGTCTGACAGTTATTCTTGTTACATAAATCTGTTGCACCTGCCTTTGTTTGCCTGAGGTAAAATCTACAATCAGAGATCTAACAGCTAAATATTTTAGTGAAATCAAGCAATCATCATTATATGTAAACTTGTCTCTTTAGGTCTGAATGTTGCCCACACAGAGCTGTAAACCATACAGCTTAGAGTCCACACTCACACATATATCACCACATCTGTCTTTACCGTGGAATTCTTTTCTCAAGCAAATCTGAGTTGCACCGATCAGATTGTATGCACTTGATCAACTGTCACTGAATGACCCCACAGGCCATTAAGGGATTCAAGTAAGCCAGTTCATAATAGGATAACCAACCATGGCAATTAATTTGCTTAAATTAGTACCTCAATTCCAATTTACTTATTATGGTCTAAGCAATGCATTAATGATGACTAGTCACTGACTGGGTGTGTTTGCCTCTGCAAGGAGGAGCAGGCTGTGAATCTTAAAGAAGACAACTGTCACTGCAGTTCAGTCCCACCAGCTATACAAATACCAATAACCTGTTGAAATGCCATATTCTACAGCAGGAGTACAAGCAGTCATGAAAGAGCTCTATCTACATGTCCTCTACACCAGCACAAACTGTATACAGTCCACACATACAGTATGCATGTTTCTTCTGTTTGCACTTAGAATAAAAAACTAATAAAGAAATACAAAATGTTTTCATAATTTACAAAAAAAAAAAAGGGAGAAAAACTGTGTTTGAATAATGTCAATTATTCCTCTGACTCTTTACTCACAGTCACTGCAGTCCAGACTAGGCTTGGAGCTCATTTTGATCTTCTGCTCGAGGTTTTTTGTGATGAAGTTAGTCAGGTCTCCATCATGACTGACTGTACCCTCTAGTTCCAAAGCCGAGGAGATGGTGGCCCTTCGGCCCTCTGACTGGCCACTTCTGCCCCCTCCTCGAGCCCCTGAACCACCTGCAACCAATATCAACAACTTGTGGTTACAAAACACTGTCGATAGTCAATAACACAGTTCAACGTGGAAGAAAAGTTAAACAATGTCACAAATTCCACTTCTTTTTACTTCACTCTGGTGCTTTACAGAAAAAGATTTTCTACATTTCTCAGTTTAGAAAAGACACGAAGAAAAAGCCAGACCACGGGAAGATGCACATCTACCTCCACACGCTTGACTAATTTCATCCAGGCTCTTGCTGTCCTGCATTCCCCGCACATTGCGAACCCAGACCTGGGCCATGATGTGAGGAGGGCAAGGGGTATCATCTGAAGAAAGAAGAGGAGGTGGAGGAGAAGAAGAGGTGGAGGTACTCGGACCAGGGGCTGAAGATGAGTAGCGTTGTGAAGACTGGAAATTTTGGAGAACAAATAAAAAATAAAAAAAGTAGAGAAAATTTACTGAACCATGTGGAGCTACACATATCTCCTGTCGTTTACAGTGGCCACGCTTTTCTTTGATAGACGGCTTCTTTTCTCACTCTTAGGTTTATTCACTCTAAAATAACGACAATCATCTTGTCAATCATTGATAGTCAGCACGCTGCACTTTATTTTAATCCTACTGAAATTTGTCTGAAAGAGGTCATGTTCTGATGACTCAGCTACATTTATTTGCGCTGGCTTTAGTTCTCATTACATCTGCTGACATCATTCTCTCTTCGGTACACACAATCTAATAAACCTGAAATGTCAGAACAATAATCCGGCACTCCACTCACTTCCACCTTTGTTCTCCTTCCGGCGCGCTGATTCTCCAACTTGTTTTCATTCTTCTCATCCTCCTCCACATCCTGTTTCTCTGTCTCTCCATCTACATCCTCCTCTTGGCTGTTGGAGCCTCCATCCGCAGTCTCTGCTTCTGTCTGCTGCCTTTCTGTGGTGACTGGGTGTCCTTGCTGATACGAGTCTTTGGACTGCCTGTGCAATGCTGAGTCCCACAGAAGAACTGCATCAGCAGGGTCCACAGTCTTAGAGGCTTCATCAGGAATGTCTTTGGATCCTAGATCTGTTTCTCCTGTGCCTGTCACCGTGGGGAGGGAGGGGTTTGCCTCCTCAGGGCTTTGTAATGATAAGCTAGAGGTTCTCTCATTCATGTCCATCTCTGTGTCCAAGTGGCCTTTCCCATGGTGAACTAGGTTTTCCATATTAGCATCAGCATGGTTCTCTGTGTGCATGTGGGACTCATCCACAGATGCCTCCCCGGTACCTGGTACTCTACTTGAACATTTCACTGAGACCGGAGCTTGAGGGCCATTCTCCAGTGCAACAGGTGTCGCTACCCCGTTTGCCGTTTCTGGCACTTCTGTGCCAATCACAGGGGAGAGACTCATCCCTCCGCCTGCTGATTACAAAGAAAGAACATTACTGGAAACCTGGAAGTGACTCTGCCTTTTAAATCTATAATTAAATTAACTGGTTTTACCATGAGCTAAAAGGGTTTTCCCACATACCAAAATAACATTTTTCATACAAACCATTTTTTTAAAAACATGAACCCATCTCATCCCCTTATCCTTCCTTAATCATCAGCGCTAAACACTAAAGTACATTAGTTTGATCAAAAAAGTCGTAAACAAAGTCAAGAGTCTGACCAAGCATTCAATGCCATTTTTTGCTACAGTATTGAGTATTCAATGGTTTGGCCAGATCGTACTTGAGAAACACGAGTCAGGGGGTCAAATATCCATCATTAGGGCCTGATGATGTGGGTAGAACCTATGAATTTTATCCAATGGATTATTTACATATACAGCAGTAAAGAGAATTTTCTAGATTTTTGAGTACATGGGATGCAACAGAAAGGCAAAGCAAACAAAAGTTTGCATACAATCATAATGGACATTAATGTCACTTTAATTTTGGGCTTTTAATGATCTCCTTGAACTGGTCTTTTACCTGAGTGGAATGATTACACAACAAACATCTTTAATAACTTCAAAAAAGAAAAATCGAGAATTGGGTGTAAAATGTTAATCTCTTTGTGATTTCTGACCACAACTGGACATTATCAAATGTAAGTAAGAATAGGTTAACTACATTTTGCCATGTAGCTGAACAATGGCAGCTGTTTATGGTTTGTCTTGATCACTTCGATGCATCAGGAACATCGTTCTCACCACTCCTAAAGCAGTTCTCAAAACAGTTAAGCCATTTCTCATAACACTGAACTGTGCAAAAGACTAAAACAAAAGTTTTTCACGCCAAACCAAGCAAAGTCAGTCGACAACGTCCAATCTGTCACCAATGAATATTGTAGGGCAGCTATTACTGTGTGTGTAACTGGCCTTGCTCTTCCCTTTATAGTTGAAAAAGCTTTAAAACTGATATAATTTAAAATACTAAATCAATACCAGACAGCATTAAGGTAAGTGATATCTGAAAATCTGACTGCCAAAAGTGTTAAAAACTGGTTTTCATGAATCAGAGTCAAATGAAAAATGCATCAACACAATGAGAAAGTGAAGTATGTGTAGAAACAACAGCAGTGCGTATAAACACAATGAGAAATGCTTAATGTGAGTAAGGAGACTTACGTTACTGCTGTAAAGAGACAACTCTAAAGGCACAACCACAGACAAAAGGAGAGGAGTACATCCACTGACTCCTCTTCAAAAGTAGAATAAGTGAATAATGTGCTTGGTCTCCTGACCTCTCATATGACGTACAAGACAATGGAAACAATTAGACTGTGAGAAGAAGGGGGCTGCTGTGAGAATTTTCGAGAGATTTAAACACGTCGGTGTTAGCTGACACACTTATGGATCATAACAATTTTTCATAAAGACTGAAATGGCGTCGTACTAAATGGTTTAGCTCAATACTAAGCTACCTTAGTGTTAATATTAGCTTATATTTCCAAATTTTAAGACAGCAACGCCCGAAAATTACTGTGTGACAAACAAAGAGGAACTAAGAAAAAAAACCCTGACAAGCATAAGTGTCTGCCAGCGCTGAGGAAGTTGTCGTAGTGCTGTCAGAGTCGCCTTGCTAGCTCCCTTTCAGCTGCCAGTGCAGTTAAATGACGTTAGCGCAGCGCGGCTAACATTAGCAGTCCAGGCCTCCAACTCCCAGAACACTCACAGCTGGCTTTTATTGTTTGACACGGCTACATCAAAACGTACATTTAGTGCTAACCTTCGCAGTTACCCACAAACAGGCTCATACAGCAGCGCTACAGAGCTCCGTTAGGCGATAAAAACACTCACCTGAGGAGTTTCTATCCTGATAGATGTAAGCAACAACCGAGTCCGATAAAAATATCCTTCCGCGTCAAGTTCCGAAAGAAATGTTCCGGCCTGCAAAAGCCATCATTAAACATATAGATAGATAGATAGATAGATAGATAGATAGATAGATAGATAGATAGATATGTTATACGAAAGAAAAAAAGTTCTGTCAGCACGACTCTTTGGGTTTAAATGTGAAAAATAATTTGTAAAATTTCATTAAAAAATGTCTCAGATTATCCTGTTATAAAACATAAAGGTTCTGTTACTTCTTTGTACTTTGTTTCTATTTAATCTGTTACTTAGTTACTTTGGTTTAGTATGAATGGCAGTGAGAGATGTCTTTATCAGCAGAATAAGCTGTAAAATGTATCAAAATACAGCAACACATTTTCCACAGATGTACAAATGGACCACAAATGTCTTTGTCAGGCAGATTCTGGCACCCTTGCTTTAAAGAAAACCGGTTGTGTTCTGAGTGTACTTATGTTTTCAGTTTATCAGCATCCTTTCGTTCCTATATGTGCTGAAACTCAGTAAACCGTTTATCCACATGATAATCCTGCATTTCTCTATTTACCCCAACAGATGGAGACAAACACCGCAGGTCTCCAGTCTGCAAAGAAACTTCCTCGACTACAAGCTACCTGTTGGTGATTTTCTTCTGCCAAATACAGATTGAGGTGGACCCTCCTTTACCTGTAGTTATAGCCTATGACCAAACCACCCCAGTGTTGTGGAGCTTTAGCAACTAAGCAAGAAGCAAGTCCACTAAAATAAACTGAACAATAGCAACAAAAACTGAAATGTTGGTTGCCTTGAAGGTGCAATATGTGTTGTAATGTTCATGCCACATGGGCCAAGCGTCAGCATATACTGGTTTGGCTTTGTACTTCTCTTCAGTTACATATCTCCAAATCTAGTGTAAATAAGCAATCATAGAAAAATGTGCACCACTGCGTTTGCTCTAATTTGTTTCAGAAACACTATTTCACTAAAGCCTCATTTAAAAAACAACAACATCGGTTTGTTTTGGGTTTTGTTTTTTTTTTAGGAATATTGGACATAATTTTAGCAGATGGTGAAATAAAATTAGTAACTGAGTATAAGTACAAAGCCAAAGGGCCCCCAGTTTTGCCTGGTTGCACACTGGAAGTCAGGACAGTGTCTGTGGCTTCTTAAATCTTTAAATGTGGTCAGAAATGACAAACACTGCTGTAGAGGAGGAGAGAGGAGTCAAAACCACACAATCACCACATCTGAGGATCTCGTATAATTTCTAATCTAAGCCATCCATTCAGGCCAGCTGTGTCCTGTCTCTTGGTGAAGATTCAGCTGTTTTATCCAATTTTGTTCTTCTCCTGATGTGACAAACATCAAAGCCTGTGAAATTTACCTAAAGACTAAAAGACTTTAGAAATAAGCCAATATTCAAGGATTTCCCAGTAGAGCACTTAGTAGTCACTTTGACTGTTTCCAGGTTTTGTGTTTCTTTTTTTTTTTTAAGGCTATTAATGCCAAAGAAGCTATTTTAGCATATTAGGAACTGCCACAAGAAAGGCACCGTTTAGGAAAACGAGGAATAAAAAAAAGCAAATTGAAGGCACATGGCTCCACACACATGTGGTTTTTGCATAATGAAAGCTGGAGACTGCATGTTGCACAAATGAAAGTAAAAGCCTGTAAATCATTATCCCACAAGTCACAGATATTAATTACACCCATACTCAAGGGGCAAGACAACTGTGCTCTTCAGATGACTTGAATTAAATCTGCTCTTCTTCATGTGAGGCAATTTTTGCTCACGGCAACCAAAACTGCAGCTGAATTTATTCAGTTTTGTTCAGTTTAGACATAAACTTTAACAGGGTAACACTTTAAAACTGTAGATGAAAATTATAAATCCTCCCATCGCCCCCAACTGTTTTTTCCTACTAACTGTTGCCAAGTGTTTGCCCCTAGGAGTTCATCTGATTGTTGGCATTTTCTCTGTATTATTGTAGGGTCTTTACCTCATAATATAAAGTGCCTTGAAGTGACTGTTTTTGTGATTTGACTCTATGCAAATAATTAAATTCATGAATTCATAGTTAATTAAACTTTTTCACAGTTTACAACGGTAAATGGGTTAGCAGTTTAATAATTAATTTGCAAACCAGTGCAAACATCTGGTTATCAAGAAGCAAATGGTGCTTATAAAACTTGGCAAACTGTTAACAATAAACATGGCTGGATGGTTAATACACTTGCCATGGACACTTCATTAGGTACACCTGTTAAACTGCGTTTTAATGTCTAATCAGCCAGTCATATTGCTGCAACTTGTAGAGATGTAGAGACTTTCTCAAGTGACCATCTTGAGGGTTTCCAGAGAACGGAGAATATCTGTTCTCTGGATGAAAATGCCTTGTTGATAACAGGGGTCAGAAGAGAATGTCCAGACTGCTTTGAGCTGATAGGAAGGCACAAAGCTCACACATTATGACCAAGGAATGCAGAAGAACATCTCTGAATGCACAACACATCAAACCTTCAAAATGTTGGGCTACTTCAGCAGAAGACCACAGTGGGTGCCACTCTGTCAGCTAAGAACAGGAAACTGGGGCTACAGTTTGCACTTGCTTACAAAACTTGGGCAATATGAGACTGAAAACGTATGAGTCTTAATTTCAGAAACAGCATGAAAGCTTTAATCAGTCCTACCTTGTATCAGTGATGTACATGTAGTTTAGAGGTGTGTGGGGGATAGTTTCTTAGTTACCTGAGCAGAGTTTAAATGGCACAGCCTGTCTGACTACTGTTGCTGACCATGTTCATCCTTTTATGACCACAGTCACTGACGATAACAATAAATTCTCTGCATTCAAACACCCTCCACAGTAACCAGATTTCTATCCAACAGAGCTGTGTTGTGCACTGTGTTGGATCTGAGCCATTAAAAAAATTATAAAGCTCTGAAGACAAAAGGAGGTTCAACCCAGTACTGGCAAGATGTTGCTAACGAAGTCGCAGGTGAGTATAAGGTTATAACACTCATTGTGAAGCACACAGGTGAGATGTGGCTGGCATTTATCACTAAACTGTGAACACAGAGACCCTGTTTTGTGTTTAGTTTCTTCCACAGGTTAGTTACATTTTCCCTTGTTGTTCAATTTACCTTCGACTTGCTGTCTATCGAGATGCCAACAAACTAGTCAAAGCCGGTCAGGTTTAGGACAAAATGAGAACTGAATTAAAATATGACTAGCTTTTAGTGAGGCACTAAAGGCCAGGGATCCTATAAGGGTGCTTAGAAACCCATCACAAACATGGACATATTTAAGTACAGCTGTTACATAGGAGAGATATTGTGTTTTTGGCGAGGCAGCTTCAGAGCATTTTGGAAAGTCTGGCAGATCGGGTAAGTGCAAGACAAAGTAGAAGACATAATCAAACAGAGGCATCTGTGATAATGCCGGCGTTTCCAACAACCGTGGAGTCCTTAGAGCTCCAGTGGAGTCACTCCAGAAAACCATCAGTGGCAGTTAGCTGGAAAATTTAATCTGAAGCCTGAGCAGACAATTTTATTCAGCATGAGAACTTCACTGAATGGGATACTGTGGTGAAGTGCACAACCCCCTTATTACACCTAAAAAGACTCTTTTATGAGCGAAATGGTGAAAAGACGTCTTTCTGGTCACCAACCAATGGGAAAGCCAGACGAGTAGATGAGTCATTCTGTGTGGCAAATTCTAAAGTTTCCCCTTCTGAGAATTTTTTTTTAAAGCATGCACTAGTTTTTGGTACATTTCCCAAGCATGCTGTTTTTATTGAGCCCTTGAAGGAAACAGCAAATACCAATAAACGCAAAGCCATTTATGTCACCACATGTCTCATGTCTTGTCACCATATCGGTCACACGGGGAGTCTAATTTGCGTGTGGTGGTTAGCACTGTCGCCTCACGGCAAGAAAGCCCCCCATTCAAATCCAGTCTGGGGTCTTTCTAGATGTCGTTTGCACATCTGCAAGAGATCCTCCCACAGTTGGGCTAATTGGCGATTCTATATTAACTGTACATGAGAATCATGCATTTCCTCTGCTGGTTGTTCACTGTGGTGCACTGTGCACACTCTGCATTTGTTTAGTAAAGCTTCACAAATTCCTTATCAGCCATGTGAAACTCTAATATGGCACTCTGAGCTAAATTCTACTGACGGCATGCTGATATGCTCACATTGATAAGACATGCTGACAGTTATTGATCAGTGTTTTCCATCATCAGCAACTTATGTTTGTGCATAAGCATGCTAACCTTTTCAGCCAGCTGTCACTGAACGTTTACATTTTTAAGTGTTATACAAAGGACTAATTTTGCCATGACAAAGAAACATCAGAGGTCATTATGGGTCATCCTCTGTCTTTAACAAAAAGAATGACACTTTATCTTCTAGATCTTGACGTATTTCACTGGGTAAGTTAAAAATTGTGAAATTATGAGCATTTTCCTGGGAACCCCGTGTATAAAAGGAACTCAAAGTATGAAACTTTGAATCAAAGTGCTGGAGTAATCCAGGAAAACAACAAAGACCTTGCAGCAGGTCCGAAGACTAGACTGCAAAACAATTGAGGGATTATTATCCTAAAATTTTTAAGTTCCTAACTAAAACATCTGAAAAAAGAACTCAAAATTGAAAAAAACCAACAACCTTAAGCTGTTAAAATCTTGAGACAATTTTGACTTACGAATGGCAAAAAAGGTTTTTGTTGTTCAGAAACATAAAAGAGAGCCAAACTGATATTCTGCCACACAAGAACATGAAAACTTTTGTCTAAATGTTTTGTTAGAAGATGAAGTCACATCAGAGTGAGTTTCAGCTGCTCGCATGCC